CTAACCTCAATAAAGTTGTTTATAATATCAACTCGTATTAATATCTAGATTTAGTATACCCTCACATTTTTAGTTACCTGCACAAGTACAAATCTAGTACTCTTTATTTCTCTCACAAATACAAAATATAGTAAAATGACCTTAAATATCGTCGTACAATACAACTAGGTTATGATTAAAAAAAATGGTTTTATAAAGAGTGTGAGAGACATAGAGCAATGAAATGGGGGTTTGATTGATTCTTGAAGATTGAGCGCGTGTGAGAGACAGTGACACCCCCACACCAAAATGATCACTCTCTCTCTCTCACACTCAAAACATCAAATCGAACGAAAACACCAAACAAAGAGCTCTCATTTCATTCATTCTCTCTCTCTCTCTCTCTCTCTCTCTCTCTCTCTCTCTCTCTCTCATATTCATTCACGCCCACACGCTGCGGTTTGCCATTCAACCTACACCCAGCACCATTGACGATGCAGTCAAACTGTCTCCCATATCATTTATGTTCCAATGGCCCTCCCTTCTTCAAGTTAATTGCATCACAGCAGCTGCTTCCCAATTCATCATCAATTTATAACCAAAAACATTAAAAATAAAAAACAAACACATGTTTCATCAAAAGAAAACCCTTTATAGTAATGTACTTTTCTGACCATATAGCTCATTCAAAATGACATCATTTAGATTGAATCCATTCCAATGTTGCTATTAACATGAAGACAACAATCTTGGAATATCATTATCATGTATACATGGACATGTATGGATGTGGAGAAGCATGAAGCATGGGGACATGACTTTGGTTGGAAGGTTTGGTTTCCTTGCATTCCGCGAAAGAGATTCAAGTTAAAGCAAGCAAGTTAGCTTAGCGATCAAAAAAAAGCTAGCGATCGATCAAGTGTAAAACCGTGCACGTGCTGAGTTGGACACTTGCGTCAGCAACTGAGAGAGCCTCACTACATGCCAACATATCCAACGGTGCCGTGATCACCTATGAAAAACTTATACAAATAAATCCAATTTTGTTCATCAACGACTCTTGTTGGTTGTGATCATCGATTTAATTCCATTCATATATATGCCAAATTAAATTTTCGAGGCCTAATTCTTTGTGTATCAATTTATATAAAATGTTCATTTGGAAAGTGAGATATTATAATAAATTTAAATAGTGAAATATGTATGATTGTTCAACTTCATACGTGAACAAACTTGACTCTAATACTACAAAAGAAGTTCAGGTTCAACCCGAAAATTAATTGGGAACTTTTTATAAGCCCTTACTGTACTAGCTAGGTTACTTTCCTATTTCTTCACATTCTCACATTAACCAAAAATCCACCATAAAAAACTCATCAAATTCGAACTTATCCAAAAAGTCTCATGATCTTAAAGTCAATTATATCCAAGTGTTTTAGCTGACATGTTGGGATTGACTACCCTAAATTAATGTTGAATCACATGCATAAATTAACTGTATATAGATCACGCAAGTAAGTAACCAAACTGTTATGGTTTCCAATGCAGCTTATCATATAATGGCTTAAAGTTCCATTGATTTCACTGTTATTGCTTTTTTACTTTTTGATACATTGTCGCAATCTTAACTAATATGTTTTCATATCAACTAGTCTTTGATTTAGTGGAATATTATACGGCGACGAGGACGGTATATATTTGTGATAGATTCGATACTTAATTGTGGCTAATTTCATTATGATAGTGAAACTTTGTTATTGGTAGTTAACAAATCTATCCTTTATATGTAATAAATATCAAAAGTTTGAATACAACATGACATGCTATTATTTTACATGTTTACTCTAGTATTACCATATTAAATTCTCGATAAATCTACTATGTACATACCATATTAAATTCTCGATAAACATTGAATAGAGACCTGAATGAAATTATATAGCAAGTACAAATTTGTTGGATTATTTGTCCTAACGAAAATTTTGGTTTATAAGATGCCCCGATCATTTTAAGGGCATGAATAACGACAAAATGGCTTGATGGTAATTAAGCAATTAGGTAAGTCACTAATAATTGGATTGGAAGAGAAAATTGAAGGCGCGCGTGGCGGTTGACGTGATAAGATAGGAGGAGCCGGGGAGAGCCACGTCATCACACAAATCAGAAACTTGAAAAGACATCAACTGATGGAGGGGAGGGAGGATCAAAACGAACGAGGGTCGCCCGTAAGACACGCCCTGACTCCCCCTCCCGCCGACGCCAATAATTGCTCGCGGGAGTGCCCCACTTCAATTTCCCATGAGACCGACTCCCCACCCCCAGTGAAATGACAACTCCACCCCGGCCTCCTGCTGCTGCTGCTGCTTCTTCCAGTGAAAGAAATTACGTGCCACATGACTCACATGTAGTCACAAAACCAAGATTTATAACATTTTTCTTTTTCTTTTTTTTCCCCCTTTTTTCCCCTTATATTAGGCTTACATTTAGATGGTGTTAGTTGTTAATTAATTAAAAGCACCTGGTTGGTTGTGTAGGCAGATGGAAAGTTTGCTATAATGAATTAATTAAATAATGCTCGAAGTTCATGCATATATCGTTGTAGCAAAGAATAAATTCTCAAAGGTCTCATAACACTTTGTACATATCTGTTTCATCACGTGATAGACAAAATAGACTATAAAATTGTCTCTTGAAAGTTTTGCAACTCGCTAGCTGACTAGGTCTTAAAAGCTCAAAATTAAAGAGAGAAGTTGGTTTTTGTTGGGTATACAATTTACAAAGGGGTTAAGAGAAATAAGCAGGAGTAAATAACCGAGTGAAGAAATGAGCTTAGTTTCTTTGAGTAGGCATGTGTTTCTCATTCCTGGTTTTTAATTAAATTCTGCATCAATGAGTGAGACTAGTGATATATATTAGGGGTGGCATTTTAAACCGAAAAAGCTCAAAAACCAACCGATAATTTACCGCAACGAAACCGCAATCGTGGTAAACCGAACCGCATTTGCGGTATTAAGAATCGAACCGCATTTGCGGTTGCGATTGTGGTATTTGATTTTCAAAACTTGCGGTTACCGCAAACCGCAAAGTATAGCCGCATGGATGATGAGGTTAAATTCTATAAGGAAATGAAACATATGACAACTTGTAAGTAATTAGTTTATTTATGTTAATGTTATTTATGCTTCTTCTTATAATAAAATGTACTAAACTATGTTGTTTTATTTGTAGATAACATTAGTGCTCAAACAACACAACGGGGTTCTTCAAATCCACTCACCACCAACACTTGAGTTTGTAATATTGGTGCATTGCATTTTCCTTTTAGTTTGTAATTTTAATTAACTTTGAATTGAATTTTTCTTTTTGGTTGTAACTTTAATTCATTTTGCTTTGCATTTTCCTTTTGGTTTATAACTTTAAAGGATTTGGAATTGGAATGTTTGAGAAGTTTAACTTTAATTGGAATGCTTGGAATTGTAACTTTAATTTTCTTAGGTTGTGAATGCTTGAGAAGTTGAGGAGATTGTGAATTTATATATGTTTGAGAAATTGAGGTTGTGTATTTATTTATTTAGGTTGTAAATTTATATTTTTGTGAATGCTTGACAATTTGCGGTTTTAAACCGCTAATTCGCGGTAACCGACCGTATTTTGCAGTTTACCGCAATGCGGTAAACCGCAAAACGCGGTCGGTTTGCGGTTTCAAAAATCACCAAACCGCAAATAGTCGGTCGGTTTGCGTTTTGAGTAAAAATTCGCGGTTACCGAACCGCAACCACCCCTAATATATATAATAAGGCATATGCAGACTGCAGGAGAGAAGAAAGATATATATTGCCTGCCTGTTATCTCCAGTGTAAGATCCAATTCAACATAACAAGCTTATATGGAGATATGCAATTAATATATATAGTGATAAAACACATGAAAATTAAGCAATAATAAATCAAGGTTAGGAGATTGAGCAAAGAAGAGAAGATAGCTAGAAAAATCATGAATTAGTGAGTGCAGGCTTATAATTAATTAATTAATTAACCATGGACTCATAGTCATAGCGAAAGAAGACAAATTAATTACTAAAAGAAAAGTGCTTAGGGGAGAGCATGGGGTTCCGGTGTTGGGGCCCTCCGAGGAAGGGAGAGTGAGTGAGAGCAAGAGACAAAGAGGAAGGCGGTGGGACCCACACACCGCCCATGCGCACGCTGTCTTGCCAAAACTAAGTGAAGGAGGGTCTCATCATCAACCCATCCATCCATCCATCAACTCATCAATCCATCGTACTACATCATCGATCCGATTAAATTCCTCCAGACCTAACCCTAGAATATTATATCTAGCAAGGCACACTAACAACATAACCCAAAAATCAAAAAGCCTCTCTTCTCTCTCTCTCTCTCTCTCAAAAGTCTTCTCATCAATCGAAACCCCAAAAAGCTCAATTCATACATTCAATCCCAACAGTTTTAAAACTAACACCACCCACCTTCTTCCCTTGAGAGGCCATGGCCAAAATCCCACAACTCTAATTCTCTCTCTCTCTCTCTCTCTCTCTCTCTCTCTCTCTTACTTGTTTCTCTATCTTTCTTTCTTAATTCCTCCCAAACTCTTAACCAAAACCAACTACAAAAGTTAAGCAAACTCACTCACATGATGATGATGAGAGGAGAAGAACAAGAAGAAGAAGAGTAATTTTGTACAAGGAAGAAAGATGGTTGATTCTTCAGCTCTTTCAGCTGAATATTTTTTGGGTATGCCCTAGAAAGACTTTCCCTTTTCCTTCTTTTCAATTTGGTGAAGATTATTAGCCCCATTCTCTTCCTCACCAAATACCCAAAAAAAACAGGAAAGGAAAAAAGAAAAAGAAAAAAGGAAAGTAAATAGAACAAGCCCTCCATATCTATCTCCCTCGATCCTCAAATATCTTTTGTTGTTGGGTTTTGCTTAATTGCATACATAAGAGCTAGAGAGAGCTAGCTCCCTGAGCTCAAAATTAGGTTTGCAAGAAAAATATAGACGCATATATGGATCCAGTAGCAGCACATGGGCGTCCACTGCCTCCTTCTTTTCTTTCTAGAGATCTCCACTTACATCCTCACCACCAATTCCAGCACCACCTCCACCACAACAACCACAATTCCGAAGACGAGCAGAACAGCAGTGGTGGAGGAGGCCTAATTAGCCGCGGCATCAAGCGCGATCGTGATGAGAACACCTCCGCCGCCACCACCTCCTTGGAAGGTAAGGAACTGGGCTCCACCAGTGCCGGGGAGGGCGAGATCACGAGGAGACCCCGGGGCCGCCCCGCGGGCTCCAAGAACAAGGCCAAGCCCCCCATCATCATAACCCGGGACAGCGCCAATGCTCTCCGATCCCACGTCATGGAAGTCGCCAACGGCTGCGATATCATGGACAGTGTCTCCACTTTCGCCAGGCGCAGGCAAAGAGGAGTTTGCATCCTCAGCGGCAGCGGAACCGTCACTAATGTCACTATAAGACAACCGGCCTCCCCGGGATCTGTGGTCACCTTACACGGCAGGTTTGAAATTCTGTCGCTTTCTGGGTCCTTTTTGCCCCCTCCTGCCCCTCCCGCTGCTTCAGGTTTAACTATATACCTGGCCGGCGTGCAGGGCCAGGTGGTTGGGGGCGGGGTTGTGGGCCCGCTCCTGGCATCGGGCCCGGTGGTGATCATGGCAGCGTCTTTTGGTAATGCAGCTTATGAGAGGCTGCCTCTGGAGGAGGAGGAGGAGCCTGCTGCCGCAGGGCAGGTGCCGGGAAGCGGACCCCTCGGGTCTCCCGGAGTTGGAGGGCAAGAACATCAACAGCAGTCGATTCAGCAGCAGCAGCAACAACAACAGCAACTCTTGCAAGATCCTAATGCACCGTCGCTTTTTCATGGGATGCCGCAAAGTCTACTAAATTCATGCCAATTGCCTGCTGAGGGATATTGGGGCACAGCACGCCCTCCTTATTGACTGACTGATCGCTAAGCAAGAAAAGAAGCTCACTGTGTTTTTTATTTTTGTCAATCTAAGACGGATGGATGGATCCCTCTTTCTCTTTTTTTTTCTTCAAATTAAACAGCTTTTGATTCTTCTTCTTTTATAAAATTTAGTTGATGTTTAATGAATTAGTTAATTAAAGATGTTGATTAGTTGTCATGGAATTGAGTCATCTACATGGGTGTTTGGATTGAAAAATTGGATGGATTTTGGTGGTGGGGGTGTTTGGTTTTACTAGTGGAATAGTTACTTTCAATTCACCTCAAGTGATTGTAGCTAGCTTAGAGATGAAGCATCAACAAGTTATGCAAAAAGGTTGGCATTCCATTTCACTCTCTCTCTCTGTGCTGTCTCCCTTCAATTTTTCTTCCTTTTTTTTGTTTTTTGTTTTTGTTTTTGGTGGTTGGATTTCTTAGATTAATGTTTGTTCTCGATTTCTTATAGATTTTGCTTGTATAGAATACACAACTCTTCTTCTTCTTCCTACATACTCTTTTCAAAAATAAAATAAAAATCATCATGTTCATTGTTACTGTTTGTAGCAGTTACTGATGTTGTTGTGGAAATTAAAGAGGTTTCTTTTAACTTTTAAGTTCGTGACGGTTTCAAGAGGTTGGTGAAAACGTCTTTTCCTCAAGAGAATATAGGGTTCTCTCTCTCTCTCTCTCTCTCTGAATCTCTGACTCAGTGATTTAGCTAGCTAGGGTTTATTATGGAGGTCGACCGAGAAGGACATTGGATACAGGGTCACACGTGCACTGCTCTGTCCCTAAAGCTCCTTGTCGAGGCAACAACCAGAACAAAACTGACCTCAACTCAAGCAAGCGTTAAACTTTCTCTCTCTCTCTCTCTCTCTCTCTCTCTCTTCTCTCTCTCCCTCCTCAGAAGTAAAGGAATGGAGTGAATCAAGCAGCTGAGAGATTTTGAGGTCAGTAAATTTCATAAAAAACGAAAAACGGTATTTATTTTTGTCTTGATTTTCCGATCAAATATTGGGATGCTCCTCGAAACCCTAGCTAGCTATCTCTACTTCTCTATTTGGACATTTCTGCACTTCATCGATAAGAGAGTATCCGGTCATGTTCTTCGTGGACATTATAGCTCTGCTACACATGATTAGACAATTTTTCAGATTCTCTGCCCTAATTATTTTTGGTGCATAAAAGATCTAGTCATGTTCTTAGTGGGCATTATAGATATAGATATAGATATATATATATATATATATATATGCCTGGCTTTTAGTTTATTTTAATTTCTTATTTTCCTCCCCTAATTTAATTATTGCTTTCCTTTTCTTTTTCCTCTAGATCTTGGTTTGATGAATTTTAGCAGACATTGTGTTTTTTTATTTTATTCCCCAAAGAAATCTATAAGGAAGAGGACTTCTTCTTCAAGGTGCAACTGAAACATATAGATATGGATATATATTTTCTTTTTAACTGGCCTTTTTATTTGATTGTGGTTATGGAATCTTTAGATTCTTCAAAGGAGGAATCTGTCCTTACATAATATTCACAATTTAGTATTCCATCTTTTTATATATGTCTATAAATAATAACCAAAATTCCTTACAATTGTACACGAATCTCACAAATATAGATTTTAAATATTTAAGATATGACAAGTATAGATAAGATGAATTTTTCTATAGATTTGTGTATAGCAACACAAATATATATATCTATCTTAGCTGATATATAGCCTTTATTTTTGCCCTTGTGCGTGCAAGTTTTGTTTGTGTATAAATTTGCGTTATAAATTATTTAAACCTTATACAATTTGAGGGGTGATTATTAGGCGGACCATGCATGTCTACTGTGCTTGAGACAATTCAAGTTTATTTATATATTCTTTCATCTGCATATTATATATTGTGCGGACGTCATTTTAAACAATGAGAAAATTAAAAAATGGTAGTAAAAAATATATAACTTATGCAAAGTAATAATATTTGGACGTAGACATAAGAGAATTTATATATATATATATATATATAAATCGTTTCCAGTTCATAATGACGAGCATCACTTTCTTCAAAGTACAATCTGATTGATGAGTTTGTATACAAAGTGTCAATATTCTATTTCTGTCCTCTTGCTTTCTGCTTTTCGACATCGCCATAAAATCTTATCAAAGCTAATTATAAGACCTTCAACCTGTTGCAGTTTTTCATGATCCAAAACACAGCAGGCTTTAACCTTCTTTTCCTCGTTAGCCTCAACAGAGTTCGTATATATCATACGTGCGTTATATAGCTTTAGAATCTACTTGCTTCTATTGTGTTCATGCATGTGTGATACTTGACACCTATTATTGTCTTATGTTTGATATGGATTGGTCTATATAGTTCCTATCAGCTTTAACTTTTAGGATCCATATAGTAACTTAAATATGTATTGGGACCTTCCTTTGGTTCAATCATGACAATCCCAGTGGTTAAGTTTGATAAGTTCTTGGATTGCATATATGCGAACCCGTGTTCGGTTCATGGTTATTGATGTGAAGATGTGAAGATGTGAAGAATTGTCTCACATCGAAAAGTGAATAAACATTGTAAGGGTTTATAAGGAGTTAAGTCACTCTCTCCATTGCTAATTGATTCAAAATCCTAGAATTGAGCCGATCTCATCTGATGAGAAGAGTGTTGAATCTTGATATGGATTATCAATAAGGCATTAGGGCATGTTTCTCTCTTCATATTAAACGGGTATGCTTATAAGTTATAGGAAACTTGATGTTAAGAAGGAAATAGTTGTTTAGTATTAAATATTAATCCTCTATCATAAAGCCCTGGTTGTGTCATCACCTTAATCATGTTTCTATGCAGTGTGGAATTTTAATGTGTTAAAGAAAAGACAAATAATATCCCACTTACTATTTACCTTGATTGGAATTTTAATTCTAATAAATTATTATGTACTTACAAATATATATATATATATATATATATATACACATGTCCTATCAAATTATCAATCATGAAACGATGGATATTAGTGCGGTTCTTCAGTTGAATTGTTATTATATTCTAATGATTGACACTTCCTAAAGAGCAAATTGTACATGTTCCAATGTGTTACGAGGAGTTGTGGATGATGATGATGTTTAATTAAAGTTAAGGTTCCCCAGCCTTCACCATAACCCTAAAGTGGTGCTAAGTCCCATCATTAATTAACTATAAAAAGTCACTAAACTAGAATTTAACTTTGTTTAGAAGACCCCTCATCTTATGAAACAATTATTTAGTATATTTCGGTGTGTTGTAGTGAACTCTAATAATAATTATGTGAAACTTACTACATAATAGTGAAGTCGAACCCGTCTAGCATTGTGCACATATGTTTTTACAACTTTGAAATTTGAAGTTTCATGAGAGTATATATATGGGAACCTTTTGAGATCAAAATGTCATATAACCAATTATTTTTCTTCTTAATATTGAAAGATGTCAGAAGTTCGAATCCCCTCAACTGAATGATGAAACAAAAAATATTGACTCTACATTTACCAAGAACATACTTAACCATTCAAAAAGTTAGGAATGAATTAATAAAGCATTTACTGTATAATTGTGTTGATAATCCTCAACATCTTGGCATGTATTGTTTTAGCAAAATTAAAGAAGAATATTCCCTGTGTCATGTAGAGTCATACCCTTTTTTTTTCTTTACCTAATGAAAAGTACATTATGTCCTTTCTTAACAATATCTTCTACAAGAGATGTGAGCTCTTTAGAATTGTCTGTTTTTTCTATTTTTAAGGTTTGGTCCTATAATTTAAAGGTTGGAATGCCTTTAAAGGTTTGGTCCTACAATTTAGAGGTTGGAATGCCTTTCAAGAAGACTTGAACCACATAAACAAGGCATCAAATTAGAATCCTTAATTACCCTAATTTTATAGAGCTAAGATATATTCTACACTACAAGCCTAAAGGAGCTACGTTTTATGCATGCGACATGCGACAGAGAATAATCCAATTGCCAAAAAAAAAGGCACATTCTAACTTTGAGGTTTCAAGTTATTTGAAATTTAAGTGAACAAATTGCTGCTTACATAAAACATTAAGATCTTTAAACCTCAAATGCTCAATGATGAAAAATTCTTGTATACAAATATCATAATTACTGTGATTATTTCAACAAATAAACCCGTTGTATGCAAGAGTTTCTTGTAAGTTACATCCCCCTTGCTCCATAGTTTCCTTCAAATATTCACTTAATTAGGGCTCGTTTAGGAGTGATTTCAGATAGGCCCAAAATCACTTCTATGGAGAACCATGTACTTCTCCATAAAATCACTTAAAACCAAAGTGATTATATGGAGAAGCACCTGGGAGGTGCTTCTCCCTCACAAGTGCCAGAATAACTCTCAAACAAGCCCTTAATCAAGGTTGCAATTGCATAAGCACTCACATTTTCCTTCCCCAAATATAACATGAAAACATAAGACCCGAACTCAAAAAATAAAACACTTCAGTAGGCATTAAAAAAACTAAAGAATGACGACTATCATTGGCTTATATCAATAAATCAATACAACAATGGAAAAGACGTGCTGAAGTTTCGAGCTTGTCTTCTACCTTTCATGATCTAAAAAGGAGAGACTCGACTAACCCTCAAGCAGCTAAAAATCTTTCCCTTTAATTTGTTCTTTTAAACAATTATAAACACAGATGCTAGCTAAACAGAGATATAAACTGAAGCCTCGCTTACTTTACACAAAAATTGCGAGGAATTTGACCGGTCATGCCCCTTATTTGGCATGTCAGAATAATTAGACACAATTCTTGCCCAAGCCTATACAGCAGCATCACTAATCTGTGTGCACATCAGTGTCAATGACTGGAGACAACAAGTATATTCAAAGCGGCCTATCACACTGCTTGCTAATCAGTAGTCTATCCGTAACCGTCGCATTTCAGCACGGAAAGTGGGGCTTGAATTCAAAGTTCGATGAGCAAGACTCCTTAT